GGGGAGGAGCAGAGAATAGATTCTTCCTCCCTGTCCTCAAAGGGAACCAAGCCTGCTGACCCCTTGATCTCGGCCTTCTATGATCTATGAGATAATAAATCTTGTTGCTGGAGCCACTCGGTTTGGGAACTTCGTTGAGGTTGTCAAGGAAATTAATACAGTGGTTGCCCGACTGGACAGTCCAGCATGGGCTCGTTTAATTCTCCAGACACATTCTAAGGTTGGCACTATGATTATTCCCATCTATGGGTGAGAAAACTGAAGCCAACCCCCCACCCAGGTCTCACAGTCGGCAAGCAGCAAAGCCAGGATTGGAATCTAGACAGTTGGTGCAGGGCCAGGTGCTAAGCCTCTGTCTGCCGAGGATGGTTCCAGGTCACACGTTAAGTCCCTGTTGTTCCCATGCAGGTCAGGTGTCCTGCCCTGAGCCTGAGCCATCACTGGGCATGGAGGACTTCCATTCTACCCATCTGGGCGCCAGGCAGCCGGATCCCCTCTTATGTAACGTGCCCATCTCCCACTTTCTGAAATGTGGCTCATTTCCTTGATGCTCCTGACCCACAGGCCGAGAAGCAGGGCTGTGATGACGGCTGTGTCACAGTATGTGACCGCGATCTCTCACCTCCCTGCCCACTCACGGTGGAATCTCTCCCTCCCACCTCCCAGCTGCTCCTAAAATTCCTGGCATCTCTCAGTGGCCACAGGTGCCCTGCTTGCAGTCCTCATTCACATCTGTATCCTGCTAACGGAAGGGAAGCCTGTGCAGTGAAGGGCATCTCCGTTGTTGGGATGAGATCAGCTCTGCCAGGAGCTCCTGCCCACTCTTCCCCCATCACGGCTAAACTGACCCCATTCTGTGGATGTCCAGGCTGAGCAAATGCTGCTGGATGTTCCTCCAGGAATGGAGGGCTTGGCTTGCGTCACCCTGGGTGGAGGGGTTGAGAGAGAAGGTCCACCTGACTCAGATGCCCAGGGCAGAGCGGCCTCACACCTGGGCCTGCCTGGGAAATGGAGATTAGGCTCTAGGGCAGCTGGGGGAGTGTCTCCTTGGCTCCCCCAACCAACTCAGAGTGACCCCAGGAAAGGCAGGACCTTACATGACCATACCCCCACTATCATCTATACTCTAGAAACGGAGTTGGCCACAAGGGCCTGGGAGAGAGAAAGGTAGCCAAGGGGATTCTGACCAACTACCCCCAAAGACCTGGGACCAGGGAAAGAGGTGGATTAGGGGCCATAACTGGATGCCTATCTTTCTTCTCCTACAAAAGACAAGAGGGACCTGGCCTTTCCAAACCACAAATGGCCAAATAGGGTGTGTATGGAGCTATCTGTCTCCCCTTGCTGCTACCTCCTACCACAGGGCCTTTGCACATGCCATTCCCTCTGACTTGAGCTCTCTTCCCTTCCCTCCTCCTCCCATACTGCCTATTGGTGCCTCCCCATCGCCTTCCCATCTCCTAAATGCTCAAGCAGACCCCTGCTGCTCTTTTGCAGAGAATTGTTCTCATCAGACATGGCTTGGTCTGATATTTGACTCACCCCCTTAACTGTCAGCCCCATGAAGGTATGGGTCATATTTGCTTCTCATCTTTGGACCCATGTGCCCATTTCACATGTGCCCGACTGAACTTCACAGGCTGTTAAGAGCCAGAACCAGGGTTTGAACCCTTATTTGCACCCAAGTCCTATATCCTCAACCAATATCTGTCCTGGCTGCCTGAAGATGGAGTGTTCTAGTAGAAGTCTGAGCAAGACCACTGTCCTGAAGTTCTTGGAATGTTCCCCAGAGGAGGTGGTATTTGAGTTGGGCCTCTAAGACAGGAATAGGAGGAAGATGTTCTAGATGGAGGGGTTTGCATAATGAAGACTCCAGAGGCAAGAGGGAAGAGGGATACTCCAAGCGCAGGGGACTCAAAGGACTGAAGTCAGGCCATGCTGGGGACTATGCTCATCAGCCATCAGAGTGGGTGATAGCCTTTGAAGCTTTTCGAAGAAGACACAGATGTGATTCCTTCTGTGGCAGGAAGATAACCCTGGGCCTGGTGTGAAGGGTGACCTGGCAAGGGCAGATGTTCAGAGAAGCAATACTGGTCAGGACGTTATTGCACAAATCCGTGGTGGAGGTGGGCGGGGAGCATGGAGGAGCAAACAGTGAGCAGGGGCAGGTCAGAGCCTTGACTCTGTACCAAACCAGAGCTCTGTCACAACCTCGCTTGGGAAATTATCAAAGATCTACTCGGTGTCTGATCCATGGGAATTATACCCTACCTGTAAACTACAAATTCGTTACAGCTGATGGTTTTGAGCACTTCAAATACCTGAATAGCAAATACAGAAGCGCAGTGAATCCAAAAATTGTTACTACAGTTTTATTTTAGCTTGTTCCAAAGACATCCCACTTGAAATTACTTTATTGATTATTTCTATACTTGTTTCCTGGGCTTCTCTGGTGTCTCAGAGAATAACTTTGGCAGGTTTTGGACCTGCCAGTATAGTAGATGCAGGTTCAGGCCCTGAGTCGGGAAGATCCCCTGGAAAAGGAAATGGCAATCCACTCCAGTATTCATGCCTGGGAAATCCCATGGACAGAGGAGCCTGATGGGCTACAGTTCATGGGGTTGCAAAAGACTTGGACACGACTTAGTGATGAAACAACAATCATCTATTTGTTTCAGTACCTTCCCTTGAGGCAGTACTCGGGTTACAACTGTATTCTTTGACATCTTTGAATTTCAGTATTTGTTTTTTACTGTTTTGTTGGAACTTTAAATCTCCATAGAGCCAAACGAAAAAGTAAAAATGTTTTAGGTGTTTCTTGGTATCAGCGCTTTGAGTTATTGGCCGATTCACTCTGGATTGGGTGGTCTATGCCTGGGGGTTTCTCCCAAGGTGATTAAAGCCTGAACTGATGGTTATCAGGCTGAATTTACTATTAATAGTTCAACTTCACTTGTTACCTGATCATACCTTGAAAGTTCACACTTTTTATGCATGGTTTTTTGTTTACAACTTAGAACGCCCCTTCCTTCTTCTCAAATATCTTTCTATGCTTTCCTGTTTTTATTAATCATTGGCCCGATTTTTCTCTAATGTGCCTAATTGGTGGGGCTTTCTGGAGGCATGACTTCTGAGATGAAGGGTCAGTGTGTCTCTGACGGTCCTCTCCTCAGAAGGCTGCCTTGTATACCCCATGATGTACGTCACCGCTCAGAAGAACTTTCCACAAGGATGGACACTTCCTGTATTGAACATGTCTAACTTGGTAGTGTCCAAGAAAAAACGAAGTCAAACACTAGTTAAAGAGGTAAAGATGGATTTTATTACGCATTAGCTATCGAAATAGGGAAGAGAGCCTGGCGTAAACTGAACTCAACTTTGTTGAAATAAAATGCAATTTTTTTTTTTTTTTTTTTTTTTACTGCATCAGGTCTTGGTTGTGATTCAGGGACTTCAGCTGTAGCATATGGGATCTAGTTTCCTGACCAGGGATTGAACCCAGGCACCCTGCATTTGGAGTTAGTCTTAGCCACTGGACCACCAGGAGAGACACTGAGAGGATGGAGGCTGAGCAGGTGAACCAACTCTTAGATACCCTCACACTAGGAAGGACAGCATGTGAACCAAGAGTTCTTTCTCGATGGGAAAGGAATGTGTACTCAGAGGGGCAGTGGCACAGCTGCTTGCCAAGTAACTGTATTAATCATGTCTCCTATTTTCTGTGTTCTGATGCTTTGACACCTGGGGCCTTGCTGACTCTGGAGGGACCACCCCTCCCAGGGATAGCCAGTTCCTAGAGAGAGTCAAAGACCTTGATGCTGGGAAAGATTGAGGGCAGGAGGAGAAGGGGGCGACAGACGATGAGATGGTTGGATGGTATCATCAACTTGATGGACATGAGTCTAAGCAATCTCTGAGGGATAGTGAAGGACAGGGAAGCCTGACGTGCTGCAGTCCATGGGGTCGCAAGGAGTTGGCCATGACTGAGCGACTGAACAAGAGGGAGTCTTGCCCACGAGTGTGCTTTTCAAATACGAGCCCACACTCCAACCTCCTCCTGTATCAGGCTCAAACTCAGGGCAACTGGTACCCAGAGCCTGCGGAAATCACTCAAAAGAGCCAGTTCTAGGCCTGCTGACCCTGCCTTACCCATTCCTTCTGGGGAAACCATAACAAAGGCTTTTGCCCGCAGGTCCTCCCCCTCCTTCCACCTCATGCCCCACCCCCCCACCCCCACCCCCTGCTTCTCAGGGTGATCTCCTGTGGCATCCATGCCCTCTCCTCTTGGGAACTATGAGTAATGCATTATCTTTTCAATGGCAACTGTTTCCAGTTCTATCGTATTATATCTCACATTTTCTTTCTTTTTTAAACTATTTATTTATTTACTTTTGACTGTGCTGGGTCTTCCCTGCTGTGCGTGGGCTGTTCTCCAGTTGCAGCGAGCGGGAGGCCGCTAGTTGCGGGCCCAGGCTTCCCGTTGCAGTGGTCTCTCCTGCGGAGCACGGGCTCCCGGGCGCTCAGGCTTCAGTAGCTGAGGCTCCTGAATTCCAGAGCGCAGGCTCAGCCGTTGCGGTGCCCGGGTTCAGCTGCTCTGCAGCACGGGGGAGCTTCTGGGATCAGGAATCAAACCCATGTCTCCTGCTTTGGCAAGCGGATTCTTTACCACTGAGCCATCAGGGAAGCCCCACGCTTTTTTTTTTTTTTAACACAATATATTTCAGAACGGGAACTCACGACTCAGTAACGGTTGGTAGAAAAGGGGCTGGGAGTTTTCTCTGAGCTTGAGTCACAGGGGCTGGAGAGTTTTCCTGTTGCTTTGCTGGCCTCCACGGTCCCAGCAGTTCTGAAGATGCAGACCCACTGTGACAAATGGGCTGGGACCAGCTCTGTAGGATCGCCTTCCCTGGGGAGCTTGGAGGGGGTCTGGCCAGGGAAGGCTGTGAGCTCACTGCAGACCCAGAGGCCACAGAGGACGGTATGGGAACCGCAAGGCTTGTCTAGAATTTCTCTATCTTCTCCAGGGAGGTTTGGTCCGGGAGCAGCACCTCCACGGTGTAGCTGATGTGCTTGGGGTAGATCAGGCTGTAGGTGTTGTCAAACCTCAGGACGTCTGTGTTGATGGGACAGACATTCAGAGAGGATGCCCGCCTGGGACCTCACCCTCCTGTGCAGGTACTAGACCTGGGTGCCACTGCCACACCTGAGAGCCCGGAGCCAGGGCTCCCTACCTGGTGGGACCTGATGCACGGCAATGCACCTGCCCCCACCCCCAGGTCCAGGAGGAGTCATTCCCTGCCAACACTCACAGACGCCGGCTTCCGTGCAGGTGAGGCTCCCGTCCTCGGGCACCATGTGGGCGTTGTAGCGCTGGCTGGCCAGCACCTCCGTCATCTCCCCGGCCCGCTGCCGCTCCCCCATCTTGGTCTTCAGGAAAACCCCGAAGCCGATGTCCCCTCCGTCCGACGCGAACTGCCACCTGCAGGGGACAGGGCCCCGCTGACCGCCCCCTGCCTGGGCTCCGGGCCCCTCCCGACTGTGCCCAGGTGTGTGTGTGGGGGGGCGCCGTGCCTACCTGAGCACGCAGCCCGGGAACAGGACCTCGCTGTCCACCTGCAGGGAGGAGCCTCGGCCCACGGTCGCCTGGTGGTCGTACTGCACCCTCACGTGGTTGTGCAGGTAGTAATGCGGGGGCACGTCGCCCCCGTAGTTGATCTGTGGGCGGGAGTGGTGAGCGGGCACCGCCCCCCGGCATCCCCCTTCCTCCCCGTCCTCCGGGCACCGGACCTTGGTCAGGCACTTGGGATTGCCGTCAGGGTCGGTCATGGTCCCCCCGAACTCCACAGGCAGCTGGTCGGGGCTGATGAACTTCAGCAACTCTTGCTTCCAGTTGCCTGTGGGGACAAAAGTGGGGCTCTGTGGGGGGGGTCAGGGGCTCAAGAGAGGGCAGTGGGGCCAAGCCCAGGGCCGTCCTGTGCCATCTGACAGCCTCCCCCTACCTCCCACATACTCTCAGTGCCTCCAGGACAGAAGCCAAGAAGATCTAGGTCCACAGTGTCTGTGTGACCAGTTTCTGCCCCTTCAGCCCTGGTACCCACCCCTGTCTGTCCAGGTGTTAGCCCATGAGGCATCTTTTTGTTTTTTTTTTGACCACACCGCGTGGTTTGTGGGATCTTAGTTCCCTGACCAGGGATCGAACCTGGGACCTCTGCAATAAAAGCGCTGAGTCTAACCATTGGACCACCATCTTTGCAGGGACCCAGATCAGTGTCTCCTGGAGCATGAGGCTGAGCACAGGTGTCTACCCTGAGCTTCCCTTTCCCTCGGAGACTGAACTCAGCCTTCCAATCAGCCCCTGCACTCAGCTCCTGCAGCTCCAGCACCCTTAGCACTGGGGGGGCAGAGTGTATCAGCCCCCCCTCCCAATGCTGCTCTGAGAAGCCAAGGCTGGTCCACAAAGGAATGAGAGCATTATGGGAACGAAGTAGGAGGAAGCAGACGTGAACGCCCAACATACCCTGGGGTCAGTGCGGACACAGAATAAAGGGACTCCCCGAGTGTTCTCCTTTAAGGGAAAAGGACTCTTCATTTCTAGGGCATTATTTTATGGAAAACAATTAGGGATGCATACAAAGATTCATCTATAAGCATCTTTACTCCTAACTCTTCCCTTATGGTTAAAAAAAAAAATTACCAACAACCTAAATTTTGGACTTTACCAAAACAGAAAAAAGTTTATCACATGGTATGTGAAAAAGGTAGGTTGTAAAAGCGTATAACATGGTGTGAACCCATTTTTAAAAGTGAATTTCTTTGAAAAGACAGTGCATGTTAATAATAGTTCCTTGAGTGGCAGGATTTACTCCTTTATACACTCTATATTTTTCTAAATTTCCAAATTTTATCAGTTATGTAATTTGGAAAACCTGCATCTTATTTTCCCCATTTTATGGGGCGGGGTGGGTTGGGGGGAGGAACTGAGGAATCTGAGACCCAGACAGAGCCGGTGACTCAGCCCACTTTGAGCTCACAGGCGGCGCTAGTTATAAAGAATCTGCCTGCCCATCCAGAGCTGGGGGCCCTCACATGTGCTGCCGCCGGGGGTCTCGCAGAGCCCTCCTGGCCCCTCAGCCCTCTGGCAGGTGGCACATGGGCCCCAACAGTTGCTGCCTAAGGGAGCGGGTCCCCCGGAGCAGCTGCGTCCCCGAGCCTGGTGCCCTCGTGTTGGGGAACCCTCAGGGCTGTGGAGGGGCCGCCCTCAGCTCAGGGTCCAAGCTGCAGAGGAGCTGCCCACTCACCTCCAAGGATCACCACCTTCCTGCGTGTCTCCTCAGTGATGTACGGCTTGATCAGGTTGAAGGCCACCGGGAAGAGCCTGGGGGCTGAGACAGGCACCGTTTCACGGTTTCCTGGGGTTTCCTTTCCCTGCCGGGTGGCCTCCATGTCCCCTGCACCGCCCCCACCCCCACTTATGCATTTGCGGGACTGGTTCACTCACCTTTCACAACAATTAAATTCTTCAGAATCTCAGGGTAGTTTGCCTCAAGTGCCGAGAGAAACTGTAGGGTCAAACTCAGGTCAATGCACAAGATGCAGGTGCCTAAATGCCGCCCCCCCTTAAGGCCCCTGAGGCCTCTCCAGACACCCCAAAAGCCACCCAGACAAGAGGAATTCCCACTGTCCGGTTTGTTGGGTCCCCGTCACAGACCGCCCCCTCCCGCCCTGAAGCCACTAGTGCAAATTCTTGACAGATTTCCAGGGCATGACCCCACCCACTGCAGACCAGAAAGGTCCCCCTCAGTCAGGTCTCTGGAAGGCTCCTCCCCATGTGGCTTCCGGCACAAAACGCTTCCAGCATATAAGAAACATTCAAAGTTGCAAGGCATGGCTTTTTCTTTCTTTTTTCTTAATTGGAATATAATTTACATACCATAACTTCACCCCTTAAAAGTGTAGAGTTCAGCGGTTTCAGTGTATTCACCAAGTTGTGCAACCATCACCACTGTCTAGTTCCAGAATATTCTCACCACGCCAGAAGAAACCCCATTCCAGTTAGCAGTCACCCCATTCCCCACTCCCTGCAGCCCTGGTTAACTACCAGCGTGCTTTCTGTCTCATGGATTTACCTAATCTGGATATTTCATATCAATGGAATATATGTGGCCTTTCATGTCTGGTGTTCTCAATTTAGTACGTTTTCATGGTGGTTCTTTTTCTTTTTTTTGACCTTGTCACACAGTTTATGGGATTAGTTTCCTGACCAGGGATTGAACCTACGCTCCTTGCACTGGAAACATGGAATCTTAACCACTGGACCGCTGGGCAAGTCCCTCATGGTGGTTCTTGAAATGTTAAAATTTTTAGGTTCTCTGCTATCCTGTATTGAGCAGAAAGAAAAGGCAGGCTGGCTGCCCCGGTGGGGGCAGGGGGCGGGGGCTTGGGGGGAGGCAGATTTTATCAGGGTCTCCCTTCCCTCCTCAGGGCCCTGGAAGATGACTTGCTCCCAGCCCCCTCCCAGTTAAGAGAGGGGTGAGCAGGGAGGGAGTATAAGAGAGGAAGGGACACCCATGGGGACCCTGAGCGGCCTGGGGACCAGGCCCTGTTGCTGTGACCTCCTGGACGTGAGGTGGTGATACTGGGGTGATGAGTGTGACTTGGCACAGCCCTAAAAGACTTCAGGTTTGAAAGGATCCCTGCAGGGTCTTCCCTGGTGGTCCGGTGGGCAAGAATCGACCTTCCACCGGAGGGAGCGTGGGTTGGACCCCTGGTCAGGGAACTAAGATCCCACCTACTGCAGAGCAACTAAGGCCACAGCCTCAACTAGAGAGAAGTCTGTGTGCCACAAAGAAGATCTGAGAGCCAAAATAAATAAATATGTAAATATCAAAGCAAAAAAGGAGCCTCAAAACTATGGCTAGAGTTAGAGAACCTCCCCACATACAGCCCACAGCAGCAAACGAGGGGCAGAGTCCCAGGCGAGGGGACACCGCCCTGGGTGGGGCTCCCTCACCTCCTGGATAAGCTCCACTCCTGGCTTCCACAGATGCCTCAGGCTCAGCCCCTCGAAATCAAAAACAGTCGAGATTTTCTCCACTTTCCTCCCCAGCTGCAAGGGAATGCTGAGAGGTGAGACCCCCGGGAGGGTCGGTGCCCCCCGCAGCCCACAGGAGGTGGGGCTGGGCCCAGCTTATCCTGGTTCCACCTGGCGGGGAGGTTTCATGCCAGGAAGCCAGGTGCAGGGAGACAGGACCGTCCCGAGGGGGGCCCTCCCCTCGCCTGCCCCGGGAAGGCAGGCCGCCCGAACTGTGTCCGCTCAGAGGCGCTGGGAGGAGCCGGGGAGCTGGGGGAGGCAGCGGTGGGTGCCCAGGGCTGGGGGCTGCCTTGGAGGGGCCCTGGGACGCCCACCTCCTGGCTCTGCCGCTCACAGTCTCGCAGGAGCAGCTCCAGGCTCCGGAAGTTGAATCTGAGGATCTCTTGTTTGGAGACGGAGAGCAGGAGGCCCCTGAGGTCCAGGCCTCTGACGATGCGGTACCAGACGGGGCTGCCCTGCCTGTCGTGGCCGCAGAAGCCACTGGGCTCATACAGCCTGACCACCTGGGTGCGCGAGAGAGCGGGGCCGGGTGGCGGCGGCAGGCCCGACGGGGCCGCGGCCTGGGGCCGGCAGGGCGCCGGGGCTCACCTCTGACGGCTGCCACGCGAGGATGTTGTCCAGATCCTGTTGCTTCCGGAACTTCATGTGCTAGAGGCGCGGGGTGGAGGGGGCAGCTGAAGACCCCTCCTGAGCCAGAGGGTCTGCAGGGGCCCAGGGACGCCAGGCCAGGCCCTGCTGCCCGCAAGCACTGGGGGCCTGCCAGGGCATCCCGGGCTCCATGGGCCCAGAACTGAGGGTGGGGATGCCAGGAGGACGGAGGAGCTGGGGTCTGACACGGATGAGGAAGGAAAGACTCAGAAAGGCGCACGTGAAGCCCGCATCCGTGGCTGCCTCTCCCCGAGCCCTCCCTCCTGGCCCCCAGGCCCCAGTCCCCACTCGGCTTCCCAGGGAGCCCCACAAGCAAGGTCAGACTAACCCTAACCCTAACCCCAGCTTCCAGCCACCCTTAATCAAAAACCCAGACCCCCAGGCGGCCCGCTCGGTCCCCGGGCATGGGCCTGGGCCACCCACTCAGCCGCATCTCTCCCCTCTCTCTCTAGGGCATGGCCTCCCGTGCGCCCGGGCTACTCCAGCTCGCCCGCGCCGCAGGGCCTTTGCACGGCTCTGCCCTGTCTCCGGTTGTCACATGGCTGCCTCCTTTTGGGCACTCATGCCGGAGTCATCACATCACCCTTTGGCAAGGAAGGCCTTCCTGCCCTCCCTCACTTCCTTCCACCTTACCGTTGCAATTTCCACTCTCAGGAATTGCCTTGTTTACTTATCTGGTTTCTTTTCACTCTCTTTCCACCGCTGCACTCTCCCCAGTACGAGAACCAGCGAGGCTCAACTTTGAGGTGCAATAAATGGTCGTTGCAAGAAAGGAAGGAAGAAAGTAAAGAGGAAACGAAAGAAGGAAGAAGAATGGAAAGAAGAAAAGACAGGGAATTCCCTGGCAGCCCAGTGGTTAGGAGTCTGGGCTTTCATGGCTGAAGGCCCAGGTTCAACCCCTGGTCCGGGAGCTAAGATGCCACAAAGGACAGGAAACAGGGCCGGGGGAGGTGTGGCCCTCACCTTCCTCAGCATGTCCTCTGATTTCTTCAGGTCAAAGTTCCGAGCTGCGAGGAGGAGATGGGGTGGTGGTTGTGGACTCCTGGGGGCAGTGAGTCCCAGCTTGGGCCCCTCGTGGCTTATGGGCCTCTGGGTTACTGTCCACTCGGAGGTGCTGGGAGGAGTCGAGGAGCTCAGGAAGAAGGCTCTGGGTGCCCAGTGCTGGGGGCTGCCTTGGAAGGGTTGGGCTGTGGCTGGGAGGGCCCCCCGGCCCCCTCACCTCCTGCCTCCCTGATTCCCTGGGCTGATGGCAGCGGGTGTGCCCCGGGGCGGGCCTTGGTGGCGACAGGGAGAGAAGGAAAGCACGGCCCAGGAGGTAGCTAGGAAGAGAAGCTGTCCAGAGAAACAGCACGTGGAGTCCCTGTCATGCCCATGGCCACCGCCAGGGCCTTGGAAACCCTGTGATGCCCAGGGTTCTTTTCCTAATGCTCCAAAAACATGAAGAGATCAGACCCTCCATATCTGGTGGAATCACAGAGCCAGGAATTATGTAAATCAAGAGCCACTTCCCCTCTCAAACGTCATTGAGGATGCCAATGAATTTTTGTTTATTTAGGTTATATCTGTTGATACTTACTTGATTAGAAATTAAAATTGTACACAGAAACTGTGTACACAGATAATACATACTTGCGGTTGCTTCCAATGCCTGTGATTTGGAGCAACTTGTGACACAAGAGAGACCTCGTATGCCCTTGACCTTCATCCTGTGTTACCGTCCATCCTCACCTCGGAGCCAGCGGAGGAGGAAGTAGTCATCGGCGCTGGGCAGGACGGCCAGGACATCCTGCATGTTCTCCCGGAACTGAGGGCAGAGCGGGCAGAGACCCGGGTGGGCCGGGCTCCGCAGTGCCCCACGGCCGCAGGGGACGGGCTGGGGCCTGCAGGCCTGCGGAGCCCGCCTGCCCTCAGGAAACAGGGGGGCCCACCCGTGCTGGGGCAGCCAAGGCCTGGGTCAAGTCACAACAGTTCCTTTCCTCTCTTTGGGAAATGGGACAATAATGATGAACCAGTTGCCCAAAGAGGATGAAGTGTAGATTTTTTTTGTTTTTGTTTTTTATTTTGGCTGCACCATGTGGCTCGTGGGATCGTAGTTCCCAACCAGGGATTGAACCCAGGCCCTCAGTAGTGAGATTGCAGAGTCCTAACCTCTGGACTGCCAGGGAATTCCCTGAAATGTGGAATAAATGAAATTTGTAGGCCTCACTCTTCCCTTACACCCATGCGGGCAGGGTGGGTCCTCTTCAGGGCCCAGCTCTCCACCTTCAGGGAGCCCCCAGGTCAACTCAGGTGGGAGGGTAAGTGACATGGATTCTAGGCTCAGAGAGGCTGAGTAATTTGCCCAGTGTCACAGAGCAAGAGGCAAATCATGTATCTGATCCAGGGCCCATCATCCAGGCCTGAACAAGGGGTGACTCCACCCAGGCTGAGAAGACCCTCTGCAGACAGGCCCCAGGCGGGGTTGGGGCAGTTTTGCTGGGCCCCAGCCCTCTCCAGGGGCCGAGGGGTGCCGCTTCTGTGTGAATGTCGCTGACTATGAGACGCAGCCAGCTTTCAGGACTCATGCCTCTGGACCAGGACTCAGCAGCCCCAGTGCCGTCGGCCTGAGTCACTCCCCTCTTCCTGCATTTCAGTCTCCTTTGACCCCAAATAGGAGGGTCAAAGAACCAGCTCTGGGCCCCACAGCCCCAGATGAGCTGATTGTCTTTGTCCTCAGAAACACAAGGAAGGGATTTCCCTCGTGGTCCAGGGGATAAGACTCCAAGCTCCAACGCAGGGGACCTGGGTTTGGTCCCTGGTCAGAGAACGAGATCCCACATGCCGCAACAAGACCGAGCATGCCACAACTAAGAACCAACGCAGCCAAATAAACAAAGGCTTTTGGTCTTTTTTTTAACACATATTTAAAGAAAGAAAGCAGCACAAGGAGTGTTTGGCCCTGAGCTGATCACGTGATTCATCCGCGATACTGCTAGAACATCTGCTCCCACACCAAGGGCGGAATCTGAGGCTCGCTCGACCTGCTCTGCCAAGATCTGGACCTAATTCTGTTTGGTTTGTTTGTTTCAGCCGAGCCACGGGATTTGTGGAGTCCTAGTTCCTGGACCAGGGAGCTAACTCCGGCCCTGGGTGGTGAAAGCAGAGTCCCAACCATAGGACGGCCAGAGAGGTCCCTGGACCTAATTCTTGACCCCAGTTGTCTTGTAAGAGGACTTATACTCCCAGCCTAGATGGAATCTGCCCTCTTTCAGGTGTAGAATTCTTCGAAGGCAGGATTCAGGACCTCCCTCCATGCTACTGAGGTGAGCGACTGTGCCTGGAGCCCTCACTTGCCATGTTCAACCACAAGGGAAAGACCCTAATGAGCTAGAAGGGAGAACGCATGCCGGCTCCTGCATCCCCCAGGTCATAGCTAAGGCTGGGGCCTGCCACCCAGCGGCACTCACCTGTGGGGCCCAGCACAGTGACCACTAATGTTAGAAACGTGGCCAGTCTAAATCAAGATCTGCCGTGAGTATGAGACACACGCAGGATTCTGAAGACTTAGTACCGAAAAAAAATCTCAGAGATTCTTTTTACGTTGAATACATGTTGCAACGATAACAACTTGGCTCTATCGGGTTAACTCTATTAGAGGGAATTCCCCGGCAGTCCAGTGGTTGGGACGTGGCTTTCACTGCTGAGGCCCAGGCCCAGTTCCTGGTCCAGCAACTAAGATCCGGCACTCCGGCCAAAAGTAAATAAGCAGCATATATTATCAAAATTGATTTCACTTGTTTCTTCTCCCTTTTTTAATGTGGCTGTTAGAAACTTTGAAGTGACATGGGTGGCCTGCATTTGTGGTTCACGTTACGTTTCTATTGGACAGCACTAATATAGACACTGGTCTCCAAGACCCTCAGAATTGGGAAGACACCTGGGGCTACAGAGCTCAGAGGGACCTCAGGGGCCTTGGGGGCCCCCTCTCCTGGGGCAGAATGAGAAACTGAGGCCCGTGTAGGACTCTCCCCTCCCCCACCCCCTGCCACACTCACCTGGGCCAACGCCCTCTCCTGCGAGGGGCTCAGGTCACCTACTTGCCCACTCATGCTGCCCACAGCGATGTGGGGTTGGGCTCCCTGGTCCTGGGTGCGGGCCCCACTCTGTGTCTCCCTCAGGCCCTCCCGTCTTCTGCGAGCTGGGAGCCCCACCCACGCCTACCCCTGCCCAGAAGCCCCACCCCTTCCAGCCGGGCCTGTCCTCTCTTCCTGGCTGAGGTCATTCCTTGCTGGGTGCCTTAGGGCGCTGACCCTTGACCTGATCGGCCTGGATTCACGTCCTCCTCTGTGAAACAAGGATAGCCCCACAGCATGTTGAAAGGTGACACCCCCTGTCGTTACACACAGGGGCCGCTCTCCACCCTGCCTCCTGGCCCCCACCCCCGGCTCCTGTGTTCCCAGAGGGAGCCTCCTTGGGCCACGAAGGCCCACCACTCACCCCCGACAGAGGTCTGGAACCTCACTGTGTGTCCCAGTTGTCGGGAGCAACTGCCCATGATTCATCACAGCCTTGAGGGCATGAGGCTTCAGGGGTGAGGAGAGAACTTCCCAGGCCCAGATCCAGCAGGTGGATGTGTCACCTGGAGCTGGGTCACACCTGGCCTCGGGTGAGGGGCGACAGGGGACTCCCGGCTAGTCAGCTGCCCCAGCTCTGGGCAAGAAGAAAGCCAGAGCCCAAAACTAGGACACAGGGGGCTCGTGTGTGCATGGGGCCTGCACGCAGTAGGTGCAGTGTACACAGTAGGTGCTCAATAAAAGCTTGTCAAAGAGGTGATGGTAAGGGAAGCTGGAAGGGGCCGCCTCTCCTTTTCCGGTTCTTATATGGGTCTCTGGTGCCTGTAGGTGCCAAGGGACACCCCCTCTTCAGACTCCCTGCCTCAACTTGCCCCCTGACTGGGCCCCGCCCCAGGGTCATGTGAGTTCTCTGCTAATGAAATCGCCCCTGCACTCGTGTGTCTTGGCTAATGTGTTATCCTCCACGGGGATAAGGAACCAGGTCAGTTAGGACAGGTGTGAAGTAGGCCCACAAGGGGGAAATAGCTCCCTCTCTTCCCGCTGCCCTATTTTCACTCCCTCTTTTTCACCTTCTCCCTCCCTCCCTCCTTTCTTCTTTCTTCTCTTCCTTCCCATTTTTCTCCCTATTTTCCTTTTTCTCAACCATGCAGCGTGCAGGATCTTAGTCCCCCTAAGATTTGCACCCACACCCCTGCCATGGAAGTGTGGAATCCTAGCCACTGGACCCTTTCCTCTGTCTTTCAACATTTATTATGAGCTGACTGTGTGCCCGGCACTGGCCTGGCCACCTGAGGCTGACTGTGTCCATAACACCCAGGCCCTGGCCTGGAGGGGCCTCGAAGACAAGCAGATCCACGGCTCTGACCCTGGGCTAGCAGAGTTGACATGTGCAGCCTGGAGGCCCTGAACCAGCCTCGGGGCTGGGTTGTCAGAGAACGGTGCCCAGACAGAGAAGGCAGAGCGCGCTTTGAAAACACGTAACAGTGTGAGGCCTGCAGTGGGAAGGGGGCTTTACCCCATAGGAACAGCAAGTGCGAAGCCCCAGAGGCGTGCGGCTGCCTGACTTCTCTTGAAGGGGATGCAGGGACCATGGTAGGGGGCGGGACTCGGAGCAGAGGATGGTCTCTGGCTACAGGTGAGGGTGGCTCTTAGGGGTGAGCCTGAGGAAGGAGGGGCCCAGGTGAGGGGCAGAGTCCTGACCCAGCAGAGTGTGTTAGTGTCCTGGGGCTGCCTTAACAAAGTCCCAACAGACTGGGTGGCTTCAAACAACAGGAGTTTATTCTTTCACAGATCTGGAGGCTAGAAGTCTGAAATCGAGGTGCCACGTTCCCTCTGAAACTCTGGGAGAATCCTTCATTGCCTCTTAGCTTCTGGAGGTGGCCGTCACCCTTGGCGTTCCTAGGTTGGTAGCTGCATCACGCCAACCTCTGCCTGTCTTCGCGTGGCGCTGTCCGTGTGCGTCCGTGTGTGTTCACATGACACCTCCAGGTCTCATCAGGACACCAGCCATATTGGATTAGGGTCCACACCGAGGACCTCGTCTTCGCTTGATTATATGTACAAAGACCCTATTTCCAAACGCCAGTCATAGGGAACCGAGAGGTAGGACTTCAGCATATCTTTTCAGGGGATACAGTTCAACCCGTAACAGAGAGGAACATGTAGTTTCACTGAATTTCCCCCTGGGGGCAGCCTCGATCCCTGCCCTGGCTTTCACGTGCCTGGCCTCCAGAGGCCTGGTCACCCTGGGCGATCCCAGCCCCCACTGGCCGGGCATGGCAGAACCGGCCAAGACTCAACTTGGTACCATGGCGCCCTCTGCTGTCCAGGTGTAGCGAGAGCAGTCGGGTCCTGAAGGCGCCCCCCGCCCCCCACCCCCGCCCCCCAGAGCCTCTTGGAGCCCTCCTACTTTTTCCGCCATGGAAGAGCCCTCAGTCCTGAGGCTGAGGTGGCCAACTGGAATGGCGCTGAAGGTCTGGAGGCTGCGAGCACCAGCGTGGCAGCTGACTGACCTGGGTTGCGTCCTGCCTCCGTGGCTGGCTGACTGGGTGACCCTGGGCTGGTGGCTCAGGTCTGTGTCTCCATCACCTTCTCGGGGCAGCGAAGGGTACTGTGCGTGTTCCCACATGGCACAGGGCTGGGCAGAGTGGTGGCTCAGTATCTGGCACCTACTCATTATCAAAGTGTTAATTATGTTAACATGTGAGTTAATAACTATACTGATTTTAAAACAAACCAGGCAGATGATAAATGCTAATAAAGTCATCTGTGTCCTTAGCATCTACAAACGGCCAGATTTGTTCTCCTTGGATCCCCTAAAGGGCCTAAAAGTGCCAATATTCATAATAATAAATAATGAAATAATATTATCAGATTATTATTGGCATTTCTAGGCCCTTCGGGTTCCAGGGAAATAGAATTATGGGGTTCCATGAACCGGAAAGTTATAATATTGCACTAAGTCACATCGCTCTCTGATTAATAAAAGGAGGAAAAATTCTCTAAGTGTGGGGTCAGTTACAGCATTTCTTGCAAATAGACTTAGCTATTGTCAGCTTTATTTATTTTCGCTTATTTCTCTCCCTATGAATAAATAAAGACTCTGAGGGTGTGCTAATTTCTTGCTACATGGAAGACTATGAGGGTGCAGGCAGTAGCCCCAGGGGGTTGGTGGGGTCAAACCAGTCCCATACTGACCAGAAGTCCTGGTTGTCCAGGATTGAGGCGTTTCCTGCAGTGTGGGAACTTTCAGGGCTAAAACCAGGTCAACTCCAGGAAACTGAGTCGGTCACCCTCACTCGTTCCTACCCTGCTTGGACCAGAAGCTCACTCCAGGAGGAAGCTTGACTCAAGCCCAGGGAGGTTGAGTGATTGATCGGGGTGACTTACCTGGCTTTGAATTCTGACCCTGGCACTAATTAGCTGTGTGACCTTGGGTAGGTCACTGAACTTTGGTCTCTAAAGCTAGGATGCTGTACATATTCAGATAAGATATATAAGCACTTGGTTTGGAGCCTGGCACAAACAGGTCTCCATGAGTCTCCTGGCTGCAATTTCTGCCTTTCACATCTGGCCGCTGGCTCCTGGTTAGAGACCTAAGGAAGGGCCTTTGTCCCCCTGGGGAGGCTGAGGGAGGCGGGTGGTTGGCGCTGACACATCCCCACCACATCCCCATACTTGACGTGCAGGGCTGCTCTCTGGAAGTGCGCTCCAGCAGGGCCTGGGCCATCTTTCTGACTGCTGTCTTCTCAGGACCAACTCAAGGCTGGGATGCACAACTGACAGCTAATAAATGCCATTTTTTTTGGATAATTAAACTGAACCCTAGGATGGGAGGGGTAAATCCAGGACTGACGGAGGCTTGGAGCAGAGGATGAGGATGAGGTGGCCTGGAGAGGTCGGTGGGGGAGAGGGGGCAGGCAGGGACAGGGTGAACAGACATGGGCTGTGGAAAGGGTCGGGGTCCTGGGGAGATGGTTTAGTACTGGGTCTGATTCATCCTGCAATGTAAATCTCAAGCAATTCCCTTCTGCTCTCAGAAAGTCAGTCCCATATGTATATATGGGATGGCGACTGTGCCTATCTCAAAGGGTTACTGTGAGGACTAAGGAGATTGCACGAGGAGCCCTTAGCCTGGATCCAGGGCCTGCGAAGTGCTCCCCACCTCCCTGTCACTCTCATGCACACACACATACACACACACGATCTTCTAGGTCTTGGGACTTCATGGGAGTCCTTCAACCACAAAGGGCTTCAGCATGTGATGGATACACACCAAACCCCGTCCGAACCCTGGGCTCTGTCCACAGGTGCCACTGTGCTCCCTTGGGATCCCCCAATCCCCACCAGTCACACACACACCAGGGCCGCGCCAGTCAGCACCACTGAAGCTGATTAACAAAAACGCATCAAATTCTTTTACTTCTGAGGTCTCCCCTTTAAGGGGAGCCAGAAAATAGAACATTCGTTTTGGGGGGAGGGTAAGGGGACTTAATTTAAAAAAAAAAGAAAAACTCTAATTAGTCAAATACTGATCTCAGTTAGGCCCTGTGTGCGGTGGGCCCAGTCCTTGGCTGGTCACACCCCTGCGAACAGCCCCACCTCACCCCAGGGACTGGGGTGGCACCAGGAGGGGCTGCAGGGGGATGGCCGGCGGGACCCCCGCCGGGCCCTCCTCGGCGGGGGCCCCGGCGTCACCACCGCAGGAAGTCCCGGATGAACTTCCAGAGCTTGGTGATCCACAGGTTGACGCCCAGGTCCATCAGGTACTGGATCTCGGGCGTGAGCATGCGCCGGCAGAGCTGCGCGTGCCGCTGCCCGATGCTCTTCTTGAGGTTGTAGCCCAGGATGGACTTGGCGCCCAGCGGCTGCCAGGGCTGCATGGCCGAGTCCTGGATGGCCGCGGCGTCCACCGCGTGGCCGCCGTCGATGCAGATGCGGCGCATGCGCTCGTTGGCGCGCCGCAGGGCGGCCACCTCGCGGGCCATGCGCTCGCGCCCGAAGGCCTCCACCTTGCGCCAGAAGCTGGCGTTGAAGTGGCGGTAGAGGCGCGCGTCCAGCACGTTCCAGGCCGTGGCGCGCCGGTACAGCTCGCCCGAGAGGCGCGGCACGGCCGAGGCGCGGCGGGCGTTGAGCTTGAAGTAGAGCACGTCCTCCAGCCCCCAGCACAGCAGGTCCTTGAGCAGCACGAGCGACTCGTCGAAGTACTCCTGCAGCAGCACCAGGTGGAAGCGGCGCTCCACCTCCAGGATGTGCTCCTGCACCTGCGGGCTGCCGGGGTCCAGGTCGCTGTCGTAGCCCAGGTCGAAGAAGAGCAGGTTGCGGAGGTAGTGGGCGTTGTAGCCGCGGGGGTCGTAGTAGCGGTCGGGGTCCTGCAGGAACTCGGCCAGCTTGTCGCGGCCCGAGAGCTTCCACGTGAAGGGCACCACGGAGCCGAAGTAGTGGAACGAGGACTCGAAGAGGCGGGCGGGGTCGCGGAGCACGGTGATGAAGGTGGCGTTGGGCGCCACCAGGCCCCGCACCTCGTCGTAGTGGAAGCGCATGTGGTTGCAGATGATGTTGAAGCAGGCCCCGGGCCGGTAGTCCTGCACCAGGCTGCGCGCGAAGAAGGCGGGGTAGTCGAAGTCGTTGCGGCCGTTGGGGAAGGCGAACTTGAGCCCGTGCTTCTGGCCGAAGCGGAACAGGATGTTGAGCAGCGTGCTGCTGGCCGTCTTGTGCGTCTTCATGAACACGATGTCCCGCCGCGGCTGGCAGCCTCCCGCCGAGCCGTTGGCCAGGGTGGGCGCCTCTGGCTCACTCGGGGCCGGGGAGCAGGGGGCCGCGCCCTCGGGGGTCCTGCTGGGGGATGGAGGGGTGGCAGAGCCTCAGGATTCGGCCTGCCGGCCCCTCCACCCCAGGTCTACAGAGCAGGTGGCTGAGGGGGGGGGGGGGACCCTGGGGACTCCCCATGGTCGGGGAGCCCGGGGACCAGATGGGCCTGTGTTCCAGGCTGCAAGGCTTAGGTCAGTGGTTTGGCCTGTCTGGCCTTACTTTCCTCTTCTGTGAAATGGGGACAGTAACCCTCTTTGTGGTGTTGCTGTGAGGACAAGAACAAGTCTCATTCGTGGCCACTGTGATGTACATTTATCATGAATTCGTATTAGGCTGGACCACATGAAACCCTACATGCAAAAATGAGCATTTCCTCTAGTTCGACTTAATACCTCCAACTAAGGGCACAGGCTGTGCTAGGCTTGGGTAGGTGATCAGCCCAGTGGGGAGGCAGGATGACCTCATGGTTAGGAGCCAGGCTTGGAGGCAGGCAGACCCCAGTTTAAATCTAGGCCTGTGCCAGCCGAGTGCTCTTGGACTGGTCATCCCCACCTCCTGGCCCCGCTGGAGCCCACCGAGCAGATGGTGATGTTTGATTCTCACGCTCCATGTCTGGCTCTGTCAGCACACCCACTTCACAGATGAGGACACTGAGGCTCAGGGTTCCACAGTGAGCTCCCCTGCCCTCAGGGGGACTTCTGCCCCACATAGCATGATGCAGGGCACAGGATGGCCACCCAGGAGATAGCCCTGGTCATCGGTGTGGGAGCCAACCCTCTGCCACCCCCAGCCCTCGGCCGCCCAGCAGGGCCACTCACGTGGAAGCCAGGCCAGTGTACAGCGGGGGGACGGCATAGGAGTACAGCAGTAGCAGGAAGCTGGTGAAGAGTGCGCCCAGCACCAGCCCCTTGGCCATGGACTCCCAGCGCTTCTTCTGCGGCAGCGGCATCTCAGACACCTGCAGGGGGTGGGTGGGGGGTTGCAGAACAGGGCACGTGTTAGGGGGCCAGCCCCAGGGAGCCCTCACCACGATCCCAGGCCTGGCTGGCTTGAGAGGCAGCTTTCAACACTGGGACCTGCCTTTGCCAGCTCTGTGGCCCCCCCGCAGTCCAGATAAGGACAGCATCTGGGCTGCAGATGGACACGGTGGACAAAGCCAACGCCAAGAAAGGCTGGGGCGAGTGACAGGGGGAAGGTTCTGCTGCCTGGGTCAGTTTTCATTTGTGAGCTGAGTGGTGGGTATATGGGTGTTACTTTATTTTTTTGTAGACCTTTCTGGGCTTCATAATGAAATCATCTAAATAAAACAAGGAAAAGAAGACCCTTTCCTAGTGCCCTGTACCCCCAGGTCTGGGCCAGGGGTGTCTACAGAGAGGGTCCTGGGGCCTGGGTCTCTCACCTTTCTGAAGGCTCAGCCAGCCTCGGCCACCCTTCCCAGCCGTCCAGTGAGCGGCTGAGTTCCTCGTCTCTCCACACTGGCCCCCATGCCCATGGGGCCTGTAGGGGAGCCAGATGGAGGAATCTGGGGCTCAGAGTGAGGAAAGAGAGGACTCAGATCACACAGGCCTCTGCCCACATTTCTGCCTCTTCTCCTGCTGCTGGCAGGCTGGGTCAACCAGGTTAAGTCTGAATTGCTGATGAACAAATACAATTTTTTTTAGTTATCTGTGTGTCCCAAATAAGGCCTAGGGTATACTTATACTAAAAATTATTCAGTATTTCTCTGAATATCGGATTTAACTAGATGTCCAGTGGCTGGATGAGAGCTCCAGTCCTCAGCAGGGAACCGCTGGACTGTGTCTACAGGGGGCACCTGTGTGCCTTGAGACCAGTCTGGGACCTCAGGCTGAGTAGCCGTCAGCCCAGGGCTGGAGCAGTCCATTCACCCTGAAAGTCTCCCTCATCACAGCCTTTTTCAGCAGCAGCCTGGTCGTACTTTTCAGTCCTTGGTGGCTCAACGCAGTAAAGCGTCTGCCTGAAATGCGAGAGACCCAGGTTCCATCCCTGGGTCAGGAAGATCCCCTGGAGAAGGAAATGGCAACCCACTTCGGTACCCTTGCCTGGAAAATCCCATGGACGGAGGAGCCTGGTGGGCTGCAGTCTGTGGGGTCGCAAAGAGTCGGACACGACTGACTTCACTTCACTTTTCACTCTCCTGTTTTTCGTTTGGGGGCTAGGTTTTAGGTCTGACTGTGTCTGACCCCGTCAGCAGGCGGCTGAGGCCTGAGCTGAAATGGGGGCTGTTCAGGCCAAGCTGTGGGGGTCCAGAACAGAGCAGGGACTCAGGGACCTTTTCACGGCCCCTTAGCTGCAAAGCCAAGGTCCCAAACTTTCCATTCCGTGCTGCCCTGGGCCCCAGGCGCTGGAGGCCATGAGAGGTCACCCATGCCGCCCGCGATCACACACACGGCACGTCACCACTGACCCTGGGGCCAGAGGTCAGCCAGCCAGCCTGGAGGAGAACCTCTGGGAGAGTGACTGGAGGCACCCACCAACCTTTCCCAGAGAAGGGGCACTCCAGGCCCACCTGACCAGTCCCTGAGTACCCCTCTGATCATCTAGAAAGTCCTCTTGCAGGAAAGGACGTGAAGAAGCAATTTGCAGAGGGAAAAAACTAGCCAGAGGGAACCTGGCTTCCCTGGTGACAAGGACATATCTCTGTCCACTCTTAGCAGGGCAAGGTGGACAGGGCCGGGAGGGAAGGAGAGTGTTGCTGGAGGGTTTTCCTTTCAAAGGAAGACTGTAGAAACCCTCCCAGTTCTAACTCTTCTTCAGAAAGACTTGGGCAAAGTCAGCCAAGTAAGGGTGTTCACAGCAGTTTGGTCAGAAAAAAAACCACCTCAGTGTCAGCAGCAGATTCACTGCACAAACCAAGGCCCATCCCCAGATGGAGGCATCTTCACCCGCTTTAACAGAAAAAAAAAAAGGAAAACAAGGTAGAGCTGAATGGACTGGCTCAAAAACACACCATGACCTACTTACATGAAAAAAGAAAGTTCTGGGACACCATGCCACCAAATCCATATAGGTGATGGTAAATATACGCAGACCCAGAAAGAAACCCCTGGAGGGGCGTATTCTAGGTTTTAAGAGTGGTATCCTCTGCATAGCTAGGGAAGGGGTATATGAGGAAATGCTCTTCTATATTTTGCATTTCTGTAAGGGTTGGATCTCTTTATTAAAGAGAATATATTACTTTTTAATCAGAAAAAGGCAATAACATGTATTTACTATATTTAAAGAATAGATAAATCTTGCGAGGTGGGAAAGTCAGCTTACAATGGTCTGGTCACAGAGAGGCCTCAGGAGAGGGAGGTGCTGACCTGGAAGCCCCAGGCCCGGGTTTCAATCACAGGAACCCCTTGGAGCCTCAGTTTCTCATCTGTAAAATGGGGAAGCTGGTAGTGCTAGCTCTCTCCCACCCCTGCCCCCCCAGAGATGGAGCAGGCAAAGTGACTAGCACATAGTTATCGCTCAGAGTGTGGGAACCTGCTCCGAAGTCCTGTCCTTGTCATCCTCGGGGTGGGTCCTCCTGGACAAAGGCTACCCCCTGCCAACCGAGCGCAAGTCTGTTCCCCACCTCAAGTGCCTCCACCGGCCTCCTGTTCCTTGGGGTCCCACAGGGCAGTGCTGGGCTGGGCCAGAACCTCAGACTCGAGCCCAAGCCCTGACTGGGGGGCCTGGGCCTCGGTTTCTTACTTTAAAATGTGGAGGGGTTCGGACTGCTGCCCTCTGACCCACTCCCCCCAGGGCCCACCCCTGTCTCAGGAGCCCACTCACCAGGGCACCTTCCGGAACTCAGGGAGGCTGTTGGTGAGGCTCTGGGTGTGGTCAGGCAGCAGGGGGCAGACTAGCCTCCCAGGACCACCAATCAGGCTCTGCCTGGCCCCGCCTAGGCCCGCCCCCTGACCCCCATCAGGGCTTCCCTCATTCATTCGTTCATTTCCCATTCTGGCGGAAGCCAGCCAGACCCTGGGCCCTTGCCACCCTCAGGTTTCACTTCTGAGCCCCTCTAGGAGCCAGACTCTGGGACGGGGGCTTCTCCAGAGCGTCTTACTGACTCCACCCAGCTATCCTCAGAGGCAGACCCCACTGTCACCCCTATTTTGCAGATGGGGAAACCGAGGCTCTGGTGGCACAGCAGGGGGCAGAACTGGGATTCGAGCTCTGATCTGTTGGCTTGCAATGTGCATCTTCCCGACTGTCCGTGGCAGCCGCTGCCCGGTGTGCCGCAGGCCCGGCCCCAGCCCATGGGGAGAGGGTGTGCACAGCTGGACATCACAGAAGACCGAGGCTTGCAGGCAGCTGACGGTCCCAGGTCTGAGGCCAGGAGGTGGTGGTGGTGGTTTAGTCGCTAAGCTGTATCCGGCTCTTTGCGACCCTGTGGACTGTAGCCCATCAGGCTCCTCTGTCCGTAGCATTTTCCAGGCAAGAATACTGGAGTGGGTTGCCATTTCCTCCTCCAGGGCATCTTCCCCACCCAGGGATTGAACCCGTGTCTCCTGGCAGGCAGATTCTTTACCACTGAACCTTCAGGGAAGCCTCAGACCTTGGGGTACCAAGGACAATAGCAGCACGGCCCAAGCCTCCTGGCCTCTACCATGGAAAACGGTGCCTCCAGAAGGCTGAGGCTCAGAGAGGGCAGAACCCCCATCAAGGTCATACAGCACAGCAGTAGCAAAGACCGGACTAGAGCCCGAGTCTCCCTCCTCGGCTATGGTGGGACAGTCCCAGGCACTCAGGGCAGACCTTACTCCCTCCCCACCCCACCCCCTCTATTCCTGTCCTTCTGGGTTACCCCAGCCAGATCGCCCTCCATCTGTGCCGACGGCTGGCTCCCAGCCAGACCCAGCAGTCCGCCTGTTCAGCTGGACCAGCAGACTCCAGGGAACGAAGGGGAAACGGGGCTCATCCTCCGCAGCGTCCCCACAGGGACCCCAAGCCCAGGATGGTAAGCCTTCCAGCCTAGGGCGTCACCACCAGGCAGGCCTCCGTCCCAGGGCGTCCTGCTCCCCCAGGGGCCGTGCGCAGGGCAGAGGGAGACTCACCTGGGGCCAGGTCTGGCCGCCCCTTCCCTCTGCCTGCCTGAGCCACATCTGACTCTCAGGCTGCCTCTGCGGTCACTGGGAAACGGGAACACTCCAGTGACACCCAGGAGTGTGCTGGCTGGCTCCCTCTTGCTCCAGCGGCCGTGAATATTCATGAGTCCCCTCCCCGGGGGAGAGCAGGTGGCTGTGTACACTGCGGGTGCGGCCCTCTGCCCCCAGGGTGGTCCCCCCGACCCTCACTGGGCCTCAGCAGCCCAGCCGCTCCTCCATCCAAGGGCTCAGCAAGGTCCCCGGCGTCCTTGGCCCAAGGACACAGGCAGCCGCAGAGCCTGCAGAGAGGCTGGGACTGGCTTGAAGGCCATGGGAGGGACACGAAGGCAGGTGAGCAGGGGAAGCTAATTGCTTCTCCAATCACATCTCATGTAAGTCTCACAGCTACCCTCTGAGTCAGGTACAACCTTCAGCCACTCCCCAGGTAAAGACACCCAGGCTCAGAGAGGTGAATTCACCTGCCCAAGGTCTCACAATTAGCCATGAGCAGACAGAACCGGGGTCAAAACACAGACTTACCAAACTCTAGGGCTTAAAGATGCCCAAGGCACAACCTGAGACTGAGGTCTGTCTAAAAGCTGGGAGAGCCCAGAGAGCCAGGACCTCAACCTGGACGGTCCCCTGAAGGCAAAGTGAGCAGGGCTGGGAGTCTCATGAGACGTCACCTCTCTGAGCTCCAGGTTCTTCATCAAAAAGGTACAGAAGTGCTGCCTCCACCCCGGGTGAGGTGGTGGCGCAGGAACCCCTGGATCAGCCTCCCGGGATTTGGGCTGATCAGAGATACGGATCCTTCCCAAAGTCTCTGTAGGAAGAGGTAGGTCTAGGGGCCCTCAGCTCAGCCCAGGCACTGGAATCTCTCATCCTTGCTCAGCGTTGCTAATGGACAGAGGGTGCCCAGAAAAGCCTCCCCCCACCACCTCGCCAAATCTCTTCCTTCAACACTGATGTCCAGAGTCCCCACCATGGCCCATGCACGGGGCTCTAGGGACCCAAGTATCGCCATCAATTGATAAAAATCACTACTGTGATAGTCAGTGATGCCACAGCGAGCACTTTCATAAACCGAGCAGCTGCCGCTGCCTCCAAAGGAGCAGCAGGCCTCTGACCCTGTGCTCTAGACGTTCTTTCCCCCAGAGCCCCGCCCAGCATCCACGGAACACAGGGCAAGCCCAGAGTCGTCCTCTCCCTGGGGGCTGAGCCCGGTCCAGGGCTGGCATCAAACAGCAGACACGGAGATTTATGAGTGTGGACTCTGGACCAGAGTCTGGTCCTGTGCTCGGGACGCGCCATGCATCACGCACCCTCATAGCCTTTGCAGGGAGCCCTCTTTACCCCACACTTTACTGTAGACGGGAAAGCTGAGGCGCAAGGAGAGGAAGTGACAAGCCCAGAGTCAGGGGGGTGGGGGTGGGGAGGGGACACGTAAGATCCTCGTCCAGTGGGGAGTGGAGCGCACATTTTTGAGCAAGAAGTGAAATTGTGAGAGGAGTGGGAACCTAGTATGAAGAGCCACGTAAATATTTTATTGACACACATATGTATCAGTAACATAAGAGTTTTGGAAAAATTAAACACTGAAAGTTTGGGAACTTCCGCTGGTGGTCCAGCAGGGACCCAGGGCAGGGGGCCCAGGTTCGACCCCTGGTCAGGGAACTAGATCCCACATGCCGCAACTGAAGATCCCATATGCCACAAGTAAGACCTGGTGCAGCCAAATAAACTTTTTCTTTTAAACCTGAAATTTTCATATTTCTGAATATTGTTCTTGTCATAGTGGATTGAGGCCAACCATAAGGGAAAATCAATTTATTGTTTCTGCTCTTAATATTTCTACTTGGAATTTGATCACTTAATTTTCTGCTCATTTTCTGTTCATTTTCAACAACCCTGCTCTATTAACCAATGTATACAGTGTATTGTATAATTTTATTCAATTAATTTGATTGACTAATTTTCATACTGTTCTTTATTAGCCGACCTTCAGCTGGGGTTCGACGTCCACAGCACTTACCAAACAAAAACCTCATTTTAGAACGGCGAATGATCACCCAATGAGTTTTGTTAGGAAAATTATTTGAGGAGTGATAGAAGATGCCTAAGGAAACTTCTGATCCAGTGATGCTCAAAGGTACAGACTGCCGTGAGCCATTGTGGGAGATCCCACCCATGGTGAGGTCATGAGGAAAAGACCTGACGCGCAAGGCCGTTCAGGACACCAGGGACCCTCCAGGTTGGCCCCGGCTTCTGCCCCACCCTGCATCCTCCCCCCTTTCTGCTGTTGTTCTTGTTTGCCCTGCTGCAGATTCTTGTGTTGCCTGCTGAGGGCTTTCCTGCTCCTCTTTCACTGAGTAAAGACCAACTTAAAACCCTAATTAATAAATCTACTGTACGCTGGTACCCTATGAAGGGGCCAGGGATGAAAGAAATGCTTCAATTCAAACCCTTTGGTTGGCATTCTGGCTTGTTTGATAAATGTGTGCCCCATTTGCAAGAGATTAGCTGGTGACTCCTTGCAGGTAGTTAACTTTCAGACTAAGAGCCTATTTTGTGCTATATCTGCTGTTTTTGCAATCCTTTGCATTTCTGTTCCGTAAAAATGTAATCCTATCTAGTTCCCATGGAGATGACGCCTAATAGAAAGAAAATAGATTAACCACAAAAAAGACAGGGTTGGCTACTGAAGGTGCTTAAAGTTACACCAGGTGCAAGCCATAAATTGTCAACAGGCCTGAAGGCCAAAAGATATTATACATAGAGATTAACCATAAAAAGGCCCTAATAGGCACAGAGCCCTTTGGGGGGTGAGGAAGCCCTATTAGAGAACACAAAAAATGTTGTTTTAAAAGTGGTTATTGGATCAACGTTTGATTGCTGTTAATGGGCTGAGGTTGTGCAGTGGAAACTATTGTTAATATAGTTAAAGATCTAGAAAAATAAGAGTTTAGCCCTAGTGTAAAAACAATAAGATAATTGTTAATTTTAACCAAGAGTGCTAAAACAGAGGCTGCCTCACCGGAGCCGCAGTCTTAGTGTGCTAAACTTTTTAGATAAATTTAGCTGAGAACTTCTGCAAAAAGACTGACTTTTGTGTTAACAGGATTGTATTTCTATTACATTGCAACCTGCTGTATCATAAGATTGCCACTTTTCTGTTTTCTGCTAAGCTCAAGGCCAGAAGATAATGTACAAAAAATCTATGGAAAAGACTCTCATAAACAAAAAATATACAGAGCACACCTGGTTTCGTGAAGGACAAGCTGATGTAGTGTTAAACTAAGTCTGTGTGCTTATCTGCCCCTTAGAAATGTGCCAACTTAGGGTGTAAAGGCTACGGTGAAACATAAAGCAACTGCCAGACTCTGCTGCGCATCCCGGTCTGGTCTCTTCCCCTCTCTCTCTCTCTCTCTCTCTCTCTCTCTCTCTCTCTCTCATTCGCTGATGCCGTTCATCCTGAGGGTTCCCCTGGATCCTGCTGGGGCCGGACCCCGGCAACAGACTATAAAATAAATTGGGAAAGATAGAGGGAAATTTCAGTGTAGTATAACCTAGACTTCTACTTTTTTATTATATATTCATTTATATCCAGAAAAACAAAGATGAAATTCTAAAGATGCAAATGCTTGCTAATACTCTAATCCTGTTGTTAACACCAGTTCATTTTGTATGTAAATTTGGTTCCAGAAATGTACATTTTCCTCTCTCATAAAATTAGTCTAGAGGCTGGACATGAAAACAAGTTACTAGTAACCAGTTTTTCAATTATGATAAGTGACCCATAACTTAAAACTCACTACAACAGAGACATAATAGTCTGAACAGCTTCCTGTATGCTACCAGTTTTATTAAGGCTTCATAAAATGTAAATGGTATGTGTGCACGTGTTTGGTCATTCTGTCGTGTCCGACACTTTGCGACCCTTCGGACTGTAGCCTGCCAGGCTCCTCTGTCCATGGGACTTTTCAGGCAAGAATACTGGAGTGGGTTGCCATTTTCTTCTCCAGGGTCTCTTCCCGACCCAAGGATCAAACCCACATCTTTTGTTTCTGCGGCACTGCAGCTGGATTCTTTACCCTCTGAGCCATGGTATAGGATATAGAAAAACCAATGAGTGCTGATTCAAAGCAAATTCCTCTTTTAACTACAACACAGTAACAGGTCAAGAGAGTTTAATATCTGAGACAAGGGCAAATCAATAAAACAATAGCATCTTGGTGTAATAATTAAGGAATATGACTCCATGGCTGTGGTTTAAAAGATATCTCAAGCACTTTGGATCTTTTTATCGCTTTTATCAAAAGCTACGATACAAAACACTACTCTGACAAGTGCTCGGGCCTGGTGCACTGGGAAGACCCAGAGGGATTGGGTGGAGAGGGAGGTGGGGGGGGGGACCGGGATGGGGAATACATGTAAAAAAAAAAAAAAAAGATACACTATGGTTGTGATAAAAATAAATAAATAAATAAATTAATTAAAAAACAAAACAAAACAAAACACTACTCTGATTAGTGATATACTTGGTCAGCAGTTAGCATATTAAAAAGCAGATATACTAGATATGCTAGATAAGCAGATATGCTAGATAGCATATTAAAAAGCAGAGACATTACTTTGCCAGCAAAGGTCCATCTAGTCAAGGTTTTTCCAGTAGTCATGTATGGATGTGAAAGTTGGACTATAAAGAAAGATGAGCGCCGATGAATTGATGCTTTTGAACTGTGGTGTTGGAGAAGACTGTTGAGAGTCCCTTGGACTGCAAGGAGATCCAACCAGTCCATCCTAAAGGAAATCAGTCCTGAATATTCATTGGAAGGACTGATGCTGAAGCTGAAACTCCAATACTTTGGCCACCTGATGTGAAGAACTGACTCATTTGAAAAGACCCTGATGCTGGGAAAGACTAAAGGTGGGAGGAGAAGGGGAGGACAGAGGATGAGATGGTTGGATGGCATCACCGACTCAATTGACATGAGTTTGAGTAAACTCCAGGAGTTGGC